CAACCTATATTTACAAGCTCAGGTTGCACCCTTCCTAACTGAAACCATCATCAATGCACTACTGCTCACCGATCAGCGATTCCTCCAATCAGTCATCATATAACCGTCAAATCCTTAATCCTGCTGGCAATTTATCTCGTAGGATAAGAGCAAGGGTGGAGTCAATGTTAAGCGTGCGCAATTATCGGTCAACGTGTTGAGTGCTTGAATCATCAAAATTTATACCAATGGTGCATCGGATAAGGACCATTTTTAAGAAAGACGTATTGAGACTGACTGCCGAAACTGCAACTGTTTTGTAGGAAATAAAATTCCCTATCATATAACTTAATTAGCACAGAGAAATGCCTATTACGGTAGGAAACTGAGCGATCTGAAAGTAGAAAATATCATGGGCAAGAACGAAAGTAATGTTTAAATAGTACCCAATTTCCGACTGAAAGAAGTTTCATCGAGCATAGTGGCTGTGCCTACTTTGTAGAGGTTGAAACACTCTAACAAATTGGTTTATTTTGGAAAAAATTTTATAAAAATGAGCGCATTTTTGTGGATTTTCATTTCATCTTGAGAAAAAAGCAATTTCCAAGTGACGACGGCCGATTAGAATACCATTCACGCATGTACTGTCTCACCTGAAGTCATGGCGAGGAATAGTACTGTCAGTCAGATTTATTCTAAGTTTGAGACTTCCTAGATAAATATTACTTCTTACAGTATCCCCTTTACTCTATAGACAGTGTGATTCATTCGTCTCACTTCTGCGCTGAGCGATCGTTCGTGACTCCGCCTTTCTTTAGCCAATGCGCTCGTATTGCCAACTGCATACGCACTTACTTTTATGATTCAATCTAATGGTGGAGGATTTTTTCAAGAATTGAAATTGATTTCTTTCCTTGACTGGTTTTTATTTGTACTATTGTTTTAGTTCATTGACTCATTGAGCAATTAGCACTTCAGCGAATTTTACTGGACTGTTTGTGGGATTAATAAGTGGTTGTTAGTCGTTACTCAGTTTAACTAAAGGAAGAGCATCATGTCCGAATGGTAATTGAAGGTTTGTTGATCGATTTCAGGCTTGATCAAGCTTTGATAAGAGGTAATATTGTGGTAGCAGTCGGCGGTCGATCGAAGAGTGAAAGATGAGTGATAACGAGAGCAGTGCACTGTCTTGCGAAGGCATAGACGGGAGTGAACGACAGTCGATTTCTGATAATGACGATGTATTCGATGATATCGATAACAGTAACGATTTCGCTGTGGACAAGGAGAATAGCAATGAGAATGCGAATGTTGACTACACGGACGATACGGATAATTATCGGTTCCGTCAGAATTCGATGAACGATCCGAACGGCTCACCTTTCGGTGCTTTTTTGTTGCATTGATATTTTAATCTCCATTCATTTGATAATTTCCCTTTTCTTCATTTTTATTTCATTCATTATATAAATTTCTTCTCACTATCACGTTGCACACGTTTCATTACAGTTTGCGTTAAAACTTCTATTGATTGCTTTAAATGACCTCATTTTTCGTACGGAAGTATAATTTTTAAACATTTGAAAGATTCGGCGATGGATTTTGATGATATAGGCGGTCCACAAGAACAAACGGAACAACAATACTGCATTATATCAATTGGTAAGTTCCTTATCTATTCACGACAACTCAAAAAAAATCAATCAATTGTTTGACAGATCATTCACCAAAACTTCATCAAAGCGAAATTTTTGCACATTTATGAAAAATCATCTCGTTTTTCGGCGTAATATCATCATTTTTCTATCATTTCAACACATAACTCACGTTATTTCTGCTACAAATTAATAAAAGTGTTCAGCGAGGTTTTGCTCCAGCTTAATTTTTCCATAGTTTTACTGAAAAAAACTGTCCAAACCACTCCATTGATTAATAGATCCTCGAACCTAATTAGACGTCATGTTTTGATTGTTTCACGAGCAGTTTTTCTATCCGTTATAAAAATTAGGTATAGTTAGCAGACGATCGCTTTGTGGGAATAGTCATAATCCTGCTAACGTTCGTCTGACATCTCTGATCGCTCTCTGGATATGTAAACATTCCATTATCCTCATTTCTCATCCATCCTCTGTGTGCTGAAGTCTAGCAGAGAGTGGGCGGAAGGTGTATATAAATTGTGTTTGTATATATGTAAAGCAGTTGTTATTTTGTGATATATATTCAAGTTTATATAACTTAATTCCTCTCTTACTTGCCTGTTGCGCTCATATGTCTGGTCTTTGCTAACGTCTTTAGATTACTCTTACCTCTAGTATTTGACTGTATCTAATGTCTAAACTACTGATATACTTTTTATATAGTTATTAAAGTGAAATGCTATGTCATACTTTAATCGCGTTATATCCTGATGATGTTTATCCATCGCTTCATTCACTTCGATTCTATTTTCATCGTTGCGCGTGATCGTTACTCTATTTCATCTCGTTTGCTGTTTATGCTGCTGTTTATCTGTAGGTATGAGTTGAAATTTATTACAAAACATCGGGAATGCTGATAGATATTAGAGAAAATTGCGTATAGTTGCGTGGAATGTACTGGTTAGATGAAGTGAACTGGATGGATGGGTTGATGAATAGCTTGAGTTGAGTTAATGTAACGCGAGCGATTGAATCGAGTTGTTGTTTATGAGTACAGTTAGTTGAGGTTGTCTTTTGTTTTGGTTGAATGTATAGTGAAAGGGATATAGATTTGGATTTGGATATAGATTTGGATTGATGTGGATATGGATGTGTTTATAGTAATAGCTGATGATACTTTCAGATTCGTTGAAATACGGTGATTATAGAATATCGGATGATAAACACGTTGTACGTGTAACTCATAAGGAGATCGACATCGATGCGGTCACCTTTCATCCAAATTCGCTTCAAATCGAATTTCATTGCTTGTAAGTTGATATTAATTTGATAGAATTAAAGAAGACTTACCTTTACATTTCAATCATTATGATGAGATTGATAATAAGAGCGTATGATTTATATGAGTATTTCGTGAGATTATTTTAATGAAGAATAAGACAGGTGTAGAGTATTTAAGTAATGAACAATATTTAATGAGAAGTAAAAAAATTTTAGTAAATATTTCAATAGTGAATAAAGAATTTGAATAAAACAAGTAGTGAACAGTGCAACTACCTACTAGAATTTAGTGGTGACACTGATTAGTAAACACTTGACCGATTGAATAATGCACTGTTTTTTTTT